GTAGAATGTCACACTGAGACAAATAAATGTTTGTTTCCATTTCTATTTTCGTTATCAAAATTCATGTCATTTTCCATAGTTTACCTGTAAATGTTTATCTACTTTGGTAGTATATCTACGGAAGTAGATAAACATGAAATATGATAAATATTTAGTTCTAGTTACTAATCAATAATAGGTATATATAAATAATAATTTAGGGGATAATTTGATATGCAGATTTAGATACAGATATTTAACAGAATTATCGACTATTATTTTGGTTTGTTTTTTAATTGACACCCAGTAGTAAATGTGAAGTAAATCATCTCGTGCACTTTATACTTTAAAAGGGTTTCAGCCAGATACTGATTATTTTTAATTTTGGCACGGTATAAGTAAGATTGACAGTCAACAATTAACTAAGTCAATAATTAACCTCTTTAGACACAAAGTTCATCCCTTCTTAGAAAACAAATGTCCACCATATTATTATGTAATATTGCCATGGCTGTTTCCCGTAAGTATAGTGTCTACCCACGATTGTGTTCCGAGGAATGAAAGTAAATTAGAGAAAATATTATAAAATTTTCTGTTCGTAAGCTAAAAATGTTATACAGGGTGGCCAATTTTTAGATAAATTTCAAATTTTCTGCAAGCAGCGTATGCTATTTTTTTTAAATATCGAAAAACGCCATTAAAAGATATAAATTACGCGAAAGTCGTAAATATAAAGTTTTATTGCTTCGCAAAAGTAGAATAAATCATTTAATATCAGTTAACGTGGCTTAGTCACACTTGTGATTCTCGTAGTTACCAGAAATTGCTTAAAAAATGATAATTACTTAAAATCGATTGATTTCGTACAGGAACTTCTAGAAAGTCATAAAATTTTATTGTTTCTTTCTGTTAAATTATTAGATTATGAATGTTTTGGAGAATTATTTGGAAATCTGAAATCCTACTTATTAGTAGGCGAGCGGTTCACCCCTAAAAAGATGCTTCTAAATGATAGTCAATTGATATAAACAAAATGGTTTTTGTTCTTTGACAAAAATTCGATAAATGTTTCGTTTCCGAGATATTTACAATTTAATGTGAAAAAAGTGACGAAATCAACAAATTTCCCGATTTTTTTTCTCAAAAACTACTGAACAAAGTTTAATTCTAAAAAAGCATAATAATCGGCAGATCTTTTACTTTAAGATATACTTTGTTGATATAGGTCAATTATTTTATTGAAGGTCTAAAGCGAGTAAAAAAAACAGTTTTAAAGAAAATAATGATAAACATATTTTTGTTCATGTAGTGGAAAATGTTCTACGAAAAATTGTAACTTTCATCGAACCTGGAATGCTATGCAGGCTGTGCGTGCTCAGATGAATGTCAGAATGTTTCATCCTAATTGATGATGAAACGCTTATTTCAACTCAAGAACTTGTCGAAAATAACGAAAAACATATTATTTAAAAATTAAATAAGAAAGAAATTAATATAGATACTTTTATTGCTCTTAATATTTTCGTAAAATAAAAATAAAATAATTATCCTATACAATAATTTATCCAATAATAGTAATTTTTTTTACTACTTTTTTGTTTACCTATAACAATTGACTGACCACGCCGAAAAATATAATTGAAATATGTAAATTATCAGAAAATACACTATAAAATAAAAAAAGTTTCATGCTGTAGGTTTTTGTTTTAAAAATTTAGTCGGTTCATGCTTTTTTTTAGGGGTGAACCGCTCGCCTATAAAGAAATGGTATTGTTTTCCCAATACTTTTTACATAGTTCACAATTTGTACAAACTTACAAGGGAAGTTATCGAAGTGTCAGTGACCGATTTCAATGAAACCTCACTATGTTGTAGAGAACAAAAAAAAATTGAGAGTATGTATATTTCTTTTCTGCCGATAAACATTTTAAAGCACTCTTAGACTTTTCCCCCAAAAACAGATTTTCTAAGAAATCTCTGTTTCTGTACAATTTTTTTTAAACCAATTGGATATTGTTTACTATCGATCACCGATATTATAATTTTGTGTGTCTTATAATTTTATATATAAGTACTGAACACCCTATATATCAAACGAAGAAAGTAATAAAATTTTAAAAGTTTAAGAATAAGCAGTAAATTATGACATTTTCTCATTTTGCAAAAAAGTTTAACCTCTACGGGAGACTATCGTGAGACACACTGTATATGTATTATGCAAAATGGTCTCGTCGTGAGTACCTACCTCAAATCATCAGAATGTGAAGTTCATCGCAGATCATTATAATAGGGAATCTTTCAAATTAAATGCTTTAAAAAACTCTAAAACAAATAAAACAAACAGATAGGTACATACCTTCATAAATTTTCAATTAACCATCGATGAATTGATTAACCAACCTGGATCTGATATCTTCTATATACAGTGTGAATTTTTAGTGCGTCATGCCTAGAGTAATGCTTAGTAATGAAAAAAATATGAATCAGTGATTATTTTTTATATATAGGATGTAGTGCGACAAAATATGTAAATGATAAAATGAGTATTTTGGATGTGACGGTAAATCAGAATGCTTTCACTTTGACACTTCGTTAATTCTTTTTATATGATTCTTTCAGAATTTGTATATTTTCTCGAATTTTAAGAATATAGTTCAATAATAGACACCTACATATATAGTAGTATAATCATTTATCAGCTGCAAATTAGTACAAATTTCATCTAGCTCCTCTGGGAACTACAGAGCCTTCATAAATGTTTACAAGTCACTTGACCGCCGAGCTTAGGCAACCCAACATTGCACGATTGGTACTGATACCGAAAATTCTCTAAATCTTGGCGTTTACATTGAACAATGACAAACCGCTCCGTCTACGCTCGAGATAATGCAATCGCTGATTGGTTAAATAGAAGCATGTGAAAAATTACACCAATCACAGCCGATGAAACAGGATATTGTGTTTTAATGTAATCTTGATCTTATTGTTTTAATTTTACCGAAATTTAATCGCCAACTTGAAGGAAATAAAATTACTGTTCCAAACAAAATTAGTGGTCACGTGGATTGTAACCATTTATGAAGGCTATGTATCTACTGCACAAAAGAAACGAATAATGCATTTAAAAATAAATAAATACTGTTTTATAATACATTAAAGCCATTTTGTTGAAACAATAAAATTTTAAATTTTTGTAGATGAAAATTTCAAAATTATAACACTTCAAAAACTGTAAAAAGGTACTTTTTTATTTTTCGTATACCATTTATATTTTTGAAGAATTCGGTATAACCCTACTTGTGTATTTTGATTTCATAACTAATTAAAATAAAAAACTAACAAAATCAGATGGCTGAAGCTTTATATTTTTAAAAATGGACATGAGTTGCATCATAATGAAACATCATTATCCATTTTCAAAAAAATTGTCGAGCGAATCATATTTTAATATTATTTTTATTTTAATTACCCAGGCTGTACTAAGTCAGTTAGGATTTTTTAAATGAAAGGGACTTATTAAATTATTTCAAAAGTTATGACTTATCACTTTTATATTAAAATTCTCGTCATTCTTGATCCAATCTTACACTTAATATAGCTAGTGTCAAAACAGGAAACTTAAAATTTATAATTTTTAATCGAAACATTATATCACATTTCAAAAGACTAATAATTTTGATATTTTTTCAGTTGTTATAATTTTGAAATTCAAATCATATGTTCCAGTTTTCCTGAAATAAGTGAAAAAAATTTTGAACACGATGAAATTTAAGAAAATTTGTTTCGTATTTTGTTTTTGAGATACAAAAATTTAACCATTTTTTTTTTTTTCAAAAAATAAATGCGTGAAAATTGGTGTAATAGAGTTTTTGATGGTACTAAAAACGTCACTATTGTTAGTTTGTGACCGTAAGCTAGAGATCAGTACTTAATATCTTTCCCGGTGACAAATTTTTTTTTAAGGTTATTCTATTATTATTATTTATCTAGGTCGTTTTGCATTGAAAAATTTAATTTTAAACAAAAAGAGGTGCTGTTATTAAATTAACTGAAAATTTACCGATTCTTTTTTTTTTGAGAAAGACATAATTCACTGTTCCCTAATGTACAGGATGTTGAAATGAATGGGCCATACTTCAAGGGTAGCTTCCTTGGGTAAAAATACAGATTTGGATCAAGTTACCGAGGTTAAATCTTGTTTTATTAAAAAGTTGATGGCTAAAACAACAGTGAAGTATTTAACACCCTCAAAAATTCAGGCAATATATTGTTTTTTTGGAAAATAATATAGTTACAATTAAATTTAAAAGTATCTCACACTAAGACGCTTAATTCTTTTTTGGTGAAATGCAGGAACGATTTTTTTAGGTCCAAACAATTTGGAAAGGTGTCCACAACTGTTCAAATAAGGTTTTGCAACACCTGCTTTATGCACATTTTGCCATGGTGATGACTTAACTGTCGAAACGTATTTTGTATTCTTTTTGTAAACTGCGGTATTCAGCAATTTATGCTCCCCAAAAACCTTACAAAATATAAAAAAGCTGTTATAGGTATACACATCCTCGAGTTGATAAAGAGCTAATCTTGATATTGGTTTGGTACCCGCATATGATGAAATATAACTCGAGTGAAGAGTGAGCGCAAAATTCCATATCTACCGACAAAGTGCTGATAAAACTACAATATTCAATAATAATGCCTCTTTCAAGTACGCCGAACCTTTATAAACAGTCATAAAGTTTTAGTGATGGTTATAACGCGCGTATTTGCTTATCGTAAAATATTCGACTCAACACATTTTATTACTACCATCGGGTTTAAAAATATAACTCGGTATTTGTATTTCCACAAAAAAAATGAAATTTAATTTCCAAGGAATTTGTGTTTCGAAACAGGAAGGCACGCCTGCTCTTAAATCAAGCATTCCAATTTCTAAAAGCCAATTAATTATAACTGAATAGAATGCTATGCCATTAACAAAAGGATGGGAGGATTGAACTTGTTTGGTTTTGTTCCAGCTCCGATCCTACGAGCCGTTCTTGAACCACAAGTGTTCGAAGAACATCCGCCTTTTCATCTGTTCCGTGTTTGTCCCGATGTGCTCGGAACATGTTCCGGAACCGATCCAAGCGTGCAGGGCACTTTGCGAACAGGTCAAAAACGATTGTTCAGATTCCCTGAAGAAACTTGGACTAGACTGGCCCCAGGAATTAAACTGTTCCAGGTAAGACATGTACAATTTACCGATCGAATATTCCTTTTCCTGCAAAGCTTTTCAAAGTCAGTTACAAATTACGTGAAATACAGGTGTGGATTACCCGATATTTAGGTATTTATTTTCAAATACATGCCTGTGTCGTTTAGGGATTACAATGACAACAGAAAGTGATTTAAAATGCGAGTATATTAACATCCAAGTTAGCCACACTGAGTGATAACGTCGATATCAGAAAATCCGTAGATTTTCTCCATTTTGTGTACCTCGAATTTATATTTTTCTGTTTCTATTAATATAACTTGTTTCTGATGAAACTTTAGTTTCAATTACCAGTTTACTTAAGAATATTTCCTGAATGTGGGTTTCCCCGGTAATTTTTACTATTGATTTTAGGGAAAAAGAAGATGTAGGGCCCTTTTAGAGTTTCAAAAATTCAGTTGTACGTTTGCATAATTTCAAACATATAAATACGTTGTAATATGGACACACATATTTAGAAATTAGAAGCAATATAAGATATTACAACCTACAATTGCATCTTTTTATGAAATTCAATTTAAATTGTGATGGGACCTGCACCAGTTTAGGCAGTTTAAGACTTCAGTATTCAGTCTTTTAAATAATCATGAAAAATGTGCTGAAAATACGGTTATGACGATTTAAAAAGTGACGACGTGTGGTTTTAAGATGAACGTAACATTTGGTTGAATAGAGGAATTTAATTAATTTATATATCTTATGTTTAAGTACTTGGCACCAGTTATTGACGTATATGACCTTCGATCGAAGCTTATGACATATTTAAATACTCCAGTGATCGTCATAGTACGAAGTAGTTATTGACATGTAGGGATTACTTGAACAAAAAGTGATGATGTTTTTCTTCAAGAAAAAAATGCAGTATTATAAATAATGATCATAGAATTTTGGCTGCGTCAGTAGGTAATTAATTCATCCTAACTTTGCCGCCTATTAGATATATAAAAATAATAAATGTTTCATTTAATTTTAAGCTACATCTTTTAGTAAAGTATAATATAAAATATAATAAACTGTGAAACTGAAGTAAAAAGAGTACCTATAAAAAAATTATACAGGTATTACCTCGGGTGTCTTAATTGAAACACTCTGTATACAGGGTGTAAGAAGTTTGACTGCCATTACTTCAGCATGAGATAAGAGTAATCATAAATGAACAAAAAAATTGTATACAGGTTCGGAAAGTCCCCATGGTACATCGGCCGTTACTTGAGAGCGATAAAATAAGTCATAGAAATCCGTGCGATAGAGAAGGATGGCTATAATGAAGGGGTCTCATAGTCACCGCCCGTTTCGCCCTTCCACAAATAAGATCCACTTCCACTTGTAATTCAGCGACTGGTGGTCATCTTTGTTTTCGTCGTTTGCCTTTTCTTTAATAGATGTCACTACTTATACAATTCCGACTCCGGTATTCCGATATGTTAATACAATCCGTTAACAGAGGGCAGCACAACGCGTAACAAAAAAAACTTTTTGCAGTAGCTAGTAGATACCTCTGTTTGTAAATCTAGTGACCTTGTTTCCCCTACTGAGAAGTTATTCAAATGGAGTATAGTGCTCAGCTGCTTTAAAGTTCATTTAGTTGTTATTTAAGTATACTTTTTAAAGTGACTTAAAAATTCCAAGAAATAAAGCAAAATTCCCTATTTCCCCAATTCCAACATATGCTCAAAATGTTCACCACCATTTTCGAAGCACGCACGACACCTTCGAATCCAATTTTCGCGCACTAGCTGGAAAATACCTCAAGAAAAGGAAATAGCGGTACGCAAAAAACACTCCGACACGGTCGAATCCAGATACCAACTGAAGTGCGTATTGGTGGTTGCTGGACACCTTAGTACCTCATGTTAATAAACCGCCGCGTCGTTGTCACATTGCTCGATATGAATATTATTGAAATTTAAATTTTTTACAACGCTAATTATTTTTTAGAATTAAGCATCAAGAAGTTCAAAAATGTGATAAACATTGTATTTTATGGTATTCTATGCACGCAGTTATGTCAGTCAATTAGTTAATTAATCGAACATCAAGTTGGAGAATTTGATAATTTTTTTCTCGGAAATGGTTGCGTCATATAAGGTTTTTTTATTTATTTTAATGTCTGTCTGTCTTTAATCGTCTGTCAAAATTAAGGTAGTAAAATTCTAACATCCTGTATACAACATTTTTTTAATATACCAATTTAATTTGTGTTATTTATCCTTATTGTAATTTAATTTGAATGTAAAAGAAGACGCATATGCATGCAATGGTCAAGTTTTTTTTCCTAAAAAATGATTTTTTGATTTTGAGTGAATAAAAATATTGTTACTGCTGATGTTTATTTTGAAAAGTACATTTAATCAAATTTTGGCTGTTTCTGAACAATATTTTGTTTTTACTTTTTTTTTTAAATATCTAATACAATTTTTTAATTTTTTCGATATATAGTGGCATCTCATGTGGTGAATGATTGTAGAAACTCAATAAGTTTCATCTTAAAAAAAAAATGAAAATAATCGAACAAAAACTAAAACAGTTATTAAAAATATTGAAGTCTTACGTAGAACACTGTAAATATAATAATAATCAATAATTATCTTATCAATAATAACAGCAGTAGGTAACCAATATTATACCTACCCACCTATAGAATTCACTTTTTTATTGATTATAATTTTATTGTAAGAAAAGTGTTTAGTAATTTCAACCGTTAATTCTATAACCTAAGCTTGTGAACAAGTTAGATTTTAATGAAAAGCAAACATTTTTATTAGTTACCTATTTTGTTATTCCTTGAGAAAATAAATTTATAATTTTTGATAGGTTAAGTGCCCATATTGAAGTTGAATTTTCATGTTATGAAGATATAGGTTTAATATATACATATTATTTTAAATAAAACTATGAGTTTTCATATTTGAATAGAACTTATATAAAGAATATAAAATTTGATACATTTACGGATGTCCTAGAAGTGCTTGGAAAAAATAAAATGTTGCCATTCAGTTCTCAGAAAAAACATGAAATTATGTTATAGGCAGCCTAGTTTTCGAGACAGGGTGTTATTTTTTTTTAATATTACATTTAGGCACATATCTCTGGAGATGTTTGTCGTAAACGACTGTAACTTGGAGCGACGACTTAATTAAAAAAAAGGTAATCATTCACCGAATTTGTATTCAATTATGTTATCCAGTCAGTGGCGGAGATACCAGAAGATACTTTTATTAAGAACCTGAGAATTTCGACTTCGTATTTTGGAAATTCAATCGGTCCGTTTATTCTTAAATTTAAAAAATATATATTGCATTTTATTCGTAAAGCGAGTCATTTTCGAGTTATTTAGTTTTTTTTAAGCCTAAAATATACTTATATATACAGGGTGTCTCACATTTAAATAGCAGGACTTCAGGAATCAGTAGAAGACCTCATTTTGATTCTAAAAGTTCCTATATATATGGGTCCTAAAACGCTTAGTTTCTGAGATACAGGGCGTTCAATTTTATTTTTGTTTTATTTATTTATTTTTTAACTAAATAAGCGCTGACAAAAAAAATCATCATGTTGCGGCGAAAGACTTAGTATTTGAGGGCAAATAATTTGACACAGAAAATCATCGCATATTAGTTCCAGTGGTGGAGATAGAGGGGTCTCTATGCATATTTTTATAAAAAAAAGTATAGCCGATTTGATATTTTGCAAATGTTTTCGAAAAATATGAAAGAGCATTCAATTTTACCCAGAAAAGGCCCTCTTGTCCAAAGTCGATAGGAGGTGGCGTTTTCAAGAAAAACCGAAAATACTGTTTAGAAGTCAAATAATAATTTTTAAACATTGTGTTACAACTAAATTAAATATGTAGTTCAAAAATTCGGTTAAAATTGTTTTTAATTAATTAAATGAAAATAAATACAAAAATAAATAACGAAAACCATATTACATCAAAGCAAATGTTCGAAATGTAAACCATTTTCTTCGATACATAACTGACACCGACGCTGAATAGAACGTCTCATTTGAATTAAGTTATTGTCTCTGATTTCACTGCATGCGTTCCGAATCCGACGAATAAGTTCATCCCTTGTGTCCACAGTAGTGGTATAAACTCTCTCTTTAATAAAACCCCAGAGGAAAAAATCTAGGGGTGTCAGATCAGGGGATCGGGGAGGCCATGCAACGATACCCCCGCGGCCAATCCATTTTTCGGGAAAGTGGGTGTTCAACCAGTTCCTGACATTTCGGCCAAAATGAGCTGGACAGCCATCAAGTTGAAACCATGCTCGCATTCTTAAATTCAGAGGAATTTCCTCCCACATGTTGGCACTCTCGGTCTCTAAGAACTCTAAGAAATTCGCAGAATTCAGTCGTTGAGGTAAGATGTAAGGGCCGAAAAGACAATTGTTATAAACGCCGAGCCAAATATTAACACTAAATTCGTGCTGAAAATTTCGTGGTCTGATTGCATGCGGGTTTTCATGTGCCCACTCATGCTGATTGTGTAAATTTGTCACACCTCGACGAGTAAAACATGACTCGTCGGTCCATAATATGTGTGATAAAAAATTTCCGTCGTTTTCAATTGAGTTAAGAATCCACCGAGAAAAAGCTATTCTATGTTCCTCGTCACCCGGACGTAAACCCTGAACAGGTTGTAAGTGGTAGGGATGTCTATGATCTCGTCTTAATGTTCTAGAAATAGTGCACCTGGAAACACCAATAATCCTGGAAATTTTTCTGGTACTCGTCGTGGGATCTCTGTCAAATTCGTGCAAGATTCGCTGATTCCTCCTATTTCTGCCAATATTAACGTTAATTATGTTGCGATCCCTATGGACCAGATTCAATCCGTCATTAGCGAAACGTTGATGAATATTAATAAAAACGTGTGGATGCGGCTGTCTTCTATTAGGAAATCGTCTCCGATATTCCCTAGCAGCTTCTGCCGAGTTCCCATTGGCAAACCCGTATACGAAGTG